TCTACCCGAGCATTGTAGGCGTAGATCAGAGACATAAAACTCATAAACACGATCAATTAAGGCCTAATCATGCATCATTATGGGTGATCATCATTAACAATAAGTAATTAGGGCGTGATTTGATCAAAACCGACCTCTAATTATCCAAACCGAGGCAGATCCGAAAATGATGGATCAAAGACTAGACTAACCTAGCTTTGATGCCACAATATAAGATCAAGATCAACACAAATGATGATCTAGCCTAGTCAAAAGATCACGTCATGATCATGAAACACAAACCATGGGGTTTCGCCATCGGTGGAGTAGGGATGTGAGGACGAGGACGGTGTTGTTTGGTGGTGTAGCGTCGACCTTCAGGACGCCAGCGGCACTGACCAATCACTTTGGCCGGTGCCGGAGTCGGGGAAGAAGGGCGGCGGCCTTCGGGTCGATCCAATGCCCTCTTAGGATCGAAAAAAGAAAATGTCGTGTGGTCTGTTTCTCAGTTGTGCGTTGGCAAAAGGAGAAGCCGGGCCACCCCTTTTAATATGGCGCTGCTCGACTCGGGGCCGCAACCATTAGTTGGTTTGGGCGCTACCGATTGTCGCGCGTATGGAGTTTCCACCGACTAACTCGGTCAGGGAATACGGTCCACCAACTAACTCGGCCAGGGGAAACGGTCTTTGACCCCGTACCCCTTTGTAATGGCTCGAGCTGGAGATCACTTAATTCCAACAGATTCATCCGTCTTGGTTGTTCAGTCAGTCTGAAGTGGTGATTCTGATAGCATATCGTGTGAAGCCCGGTTGTACACAGATCCATATCTAAAAGCTTAGGCTACAGGGTTGAGGCATCCCTACGACAGCAAGATGCAGAAAACATGCGCTAGGATGTTGTCACATGAATGATATCAGTATTAGGCGACGTGTGCTTGTCACCTTGTGGCTTGTGCTTCTTTCTATCTTGGAAGTCGTTGGTATCGAAAATAAAACAAAGCAACTATGGAAACTGCGGTCGTAATCAATACTTCTATTCTATTTCCAGAGACATAGCAGGCATACCATACCGAACGTGTTCTGAAACCTTTGATACCCTCTCAGAATCTCACATGATTAGTATCGGGATCAAGCCTTCTTCTTCTTGTTCCTTTTCACACATGAAACTTGGGCACAAAACGTGTTATAGGGTTTAGGTCATGTGCATCCCATATCTTCTTTCTTTGGTAGAACCTTGTGTGCCTTCGTTTGTAATCTCTCCCTCTTCAGCTGCCGATCTTGGTTCTGCAAGCGGCAACTCAGACACACATACCTCCGACACGAGCTGGAACCAAAACACGAGCAAAATCCTTCTCCATATCCCGTCACGTGCAAATGAATGACAACAGCTTTGCATAAGCTTCTGATGCTCCTGTGTTATCGACAGTTGCAAACAGCTGCACATGAACAAGATCTCTCTGGCCATCCATCCGTAGGGCAGAGCAAGTAATGCGAGTTGTATGTTGCCTTCATATCGAGGTGCCTTGCCACATGCGCCTGCATGGCAACATCATTTCGTTCACGCTCTGATGTTTGCAGTTTGCTGAACATGAAACCATTCCAATCCGACGTATGGTTTCAGACTTTCAGATGAATAACTGTCAGTAGGCCAGGTGCACTGACTGAGCAGGGTGGTTGTTTGTTGCTGGCAGCTTGCTGTGGTCCACCCTTTGTTTGCAATGTCACGCTACAACAAGAAACTTCTTTTCAGACAGACGAAACATGACGATCATTTGCCTGACAACTGAAGATGGTGATCCACCATTCTTTGCCTTGAATTAATTATCAACAGCTGCAGAATACAACCAAATGCTCGGTCTAACTTTCTAGCTTTGAATTTCTTCAGAATTCAAACATGTACTGATATTCCTTCCAAAAAAAATCTTATACCGATAAGTGAAGATGCAAAGTTGACTCAAGCTTCCTTCGTGGTCCATTCAGTAATACTTCTTTAGCTCCATGATAAACCATATGGCAGCAAATTATTGCTTCCTTTACTTTCATTCCAGCTCCAACTCTGTTGGATTTTTTTGCAACCGCGACAGCGAAAAGAACAGGACGTCTGTTTCACACGTCGGTTACATCTCACAATTCAAACTTTGTTTTCACATTTCATACTTTTCTCTGCACAAGAAAACGGACACACTTTCTCATCATCTTTGTTGTGCCGAGCAATGCTGCTCTTATTTCCCTATCACGGGTTCAATCCCGTTAGCGAAAAATTTCCCTATCATCTGCAATATTCAGGCAGCGACAGCTAGAACAGATAACTCAGTAGTACTATCCTATTGTCTATGATTGCATAGGCCGGCCCGGCCGGTTCTCCTCATCGACAGTCGCGTGAACGGTGAATCCCACATGCGGCGACCCGACTGCCGAAAAACAAGCAGCGGCAGCCGGCAACCACTGGTAGTTTGCGGATGGATGCAATGTGTGTGCTGCACTGCACTGCGCGCCTTGGTAAATGCGATTCAATGGATCCGTGGGATCCAACGCAGACGCAATGCATATGCAAGTACTGGAGCCGCACCTGCAGGTACGTCCTTGCAGTACCTGGGCTGGGCAATGGCTAGGCTTGGCTGGCGACCCATCATCCATGGCCATAATAAACACAAGTCTGCCTGCCCCCCAACCTACGGGGACGCTCTCCGTTGCTTGCTTGGCACTTCGCAACGTGCCAAGCACATGCTCGCCCGCGCTCACATGGCCGGTTCTTGCAGTTTCGAAAGGCTCATGGGGATCGGCATGAAATCCAACTAGTTTCCACTTCCCAGGTGTGTAACGGTCGAAGATGGCGGTGGTTAAAGACAGGTAAATGAGGAAATTTCACAGTGCGATTGAGTCGCAAATCTGAATGGTTCAGAAATCTTTGACAGCTTCACCTTTCAGTCTGGACAAATGATAGATAATTGACCCGGCACAAGTCATTCCTTTCGGAGGCGAAATCCTCTTGTTCATTGAGAAGCATGTGCGAAGAATTTGCGGCAAGTTTTTGACAAACGGCTCATCTGTTCACAATTTCGTATAACATATACACTGGATGATTGAGTTGGACTGAAGCTTTCAAAATATAGAAGCTGCATATAATTGGGTTGGACTTCAGGGGATCGCGGCATCTACGTTCCTCGGGGCGAACGACCTTGTGCTTCTAACCCGAATTTCAACGTAGGCGACTAGGCGTAGTAGACCTCCAGTGAGGTGAGGTACTGCATGCGCTTGCATTGGGAGGCGAAGCCGCACCTTATCGAGATGAATTGTTGGACCAGCTGATGGATGGACCTTTTTGAGAGGCCAAGATATAAGGACGAGAAGCGATCAGAAGCTTGAAGGTGGAGTGCTTTCCTTGGAGTAACATAGAGATCTCTTCATAATTTGAAGGACTAATTTTCTCGCCACGTTTAATGGGAAAAATGCACTAGTAAGATGACAGATGAAATCATTGGGCCGTTCCTTTTCATTTAGAAAAAGGACCGCTTTTCCTTTGGGTTCAAGCCAACGAGAAAGGAGTAAAACAGCGAACAAAAACTAAACATTGACCTGAAAAGGTGCAGAATTAGCACAGAACTCTCAAGGATAAGTAGGAATAGACCATTAGATAACTAGTATCACCACTAAGAAAAGGAGAAAATAAAACAGCAAAATGAAACAAAAGAAGGTCCAAGAAACATCAAACTCAGATCTCCTGAGTGTTCTGGAGAAAGAAAAAACCATCATACTTTGACAAGAGTGATTTTTCTCAGATCTCTTGTGCTTACAAAGTTTTTTTTCCATTTTCAAAGTGAAGATATTGTGACAATCATCTTGAGATAATTTCTTATCCACCATTCCTTGGTTACCAATGGAAAAGTTCTCATCTCTTAGCCACAATTTTCTTTCTCCTCTATGCCAATGCCACTGACGTCAAATTGTATAGATGACAATGGTACACAAGGGATGGAAAGAATTAAGCTTTGTCATCCCCTATGTGCTATTGGAATTAAGTCCGTCATAGCGACAGTGGATTCTAGCAGCAAATGGATGAATTCAATCTTTTCAAGAATTTCTTTAGAAATAGATTGAAATCCTGAAAAAACAAATATGCATTCATCAGGAATATGGAGATTGAATAGGTTTAGTAGAGAGGAGATGAAATCTCATGCAACCTCGGTGTTCATACCCTTCTCAGAAAACATACTAATTGTGTCATGGTTTCATGGGAACATGTACACATCAGTTATCAGCACAATGCTTCAGGAATTCAAAAGCTGCGTTTCTACATCAAACAACTTGCTGCAAATTTGCAGCATACCAGTATCAGAGCTATTGATCATTTCTCCGCTCAGGTAAGTCTTGACTGATGCATATCTCATACTTTGCCTTCATGTGAAGTACAGTAGTCAAAAGCTCTCATCCGAACAAAAAAACAGCAACAATCGGTTATCACTTTAAACAACAACTGATATTCCAGAGTCCATCAAACTATGCACAAATTAATTTTAAAGTAGCAACCATTTCATTACAATATCAGTACTACATAAATGTACTGATGAAGTACATAATATACATCATATTTTATAGTATGCCCAACTAGTCAAGATTCTTTATAAACAACTAGTGATGTACTACATAAAGAGCCTTTCTAAAAAAAAGTACTACATAAAGATAGAACAGCAATTACTGCAAATCAAGGATGACAAAGGACAAACGGAAAGTTTTTTTTAAAAATCGAATCTTTCAGTTTAGAGGTAGCTCCTCCTCATTGCCTTTCAATAGAACACAGAAAACCCTTCGTTTCCACATCATTTTTTCCATGATTCGTTGCAACCATTGAGGGCTGCATTACCCAGTCCAGATCAGCTCAGTTCAGCAGAGATAGAAATCAGGCAGTAATTCTAATCCGCGGGGGGAGATACTATGGATTCATCCCACACCACACCACGTTACAAAGAACAAGGAAAAAAAGAGGAAGAAAATATTCCTTTTTGTTTTGTTCTTGAGCTCCACCTATCTGCAGAGCGGGTTGTTGGGAGTGCCACGTCCGACCTCGTCGGCGACGTACTCGACGCTGCAGTAACAGAAGGCGGCGTCCTTCTTGTTCTTCTCGACGGCCTTGAGGATGGACTCGAAGACGGGGACCTCGCAGGGGATGCGGAGCACGCCCTCCTGCTGGAAGCCGAACTCCTCCTCGGCCTCCCGCAGCAGCGCCGCGAAGGCGCGGTGCTTCAGGTACTCCATCGGGATCACGAACCTCTGCATCGCGGAGCCCACGCACACGGCGAGGTGGCCCTTGGGCGGCGGTGGAGGGGAGCCCGAGGGCGGACCGTCCGTCAAGGAAAGCGTCCGCTTCAGGAACTTCTTGGCCTTGCTCTCGCCGGCATTGCCCCCGCCGCCGGCGGTGGGCGAGCTTGGCTCCTTGGGGGTGACCGAGAGCTTGCGCCACTTCTTCAGCATCTGCTGCATCCGCACGATCTCGGTGATCTTGTTCGACTTCTTGGCGCCGGACTGCTCCATCTGCTCTTCTTCTTTGTGCTGGGGACGATCTGGGGAAATTTTCTGCTGGTTTTGAGGCGCTCTCAACGAGTTTGTTTTGATGGTGTGGTGGTCTGGTGGAGCTCTGCCGCGCCCATCGAGGGGGTTTTAAAGGCAGGAGAGCGATGGGCCCCACCGCCCCAGCTTAGGCTCTTTCTCGGGTGGGTCCCACTTTAGTTTTTTTTTTTGGTGAATTTCTCCCTGCCGATTCAAGCAAACTGTCGATTAGTTTAACCGGTCAAGAAAGCTCTTCTCTCTCCATCTTCTTAGGCATGATTTTTAACTGGTCAAGAAAGCTCTTCTCTCTCCCTTCTTTTTAGGCATGATTTCGTCAGTCCTTTCATCTTTCAAACCCAGAGAGGATAATAATGTCCTAAATTTAATCAGATTTATAGAGAAGATTATTAATGTCTACTATATCAAAATCATAAATCATGAAAATACATTTCATAGTGAATATTATTGTTCTTTTTATACAAACTTGGTCAAACTCAAAATGGTTTGACTTAGGATAACTGAAAATCTCTTATTTTAGTATTAAAGAAGTAATTAATGAAGCTCTATGACATGTGGACCCATGTTAACTTTCAAGAACGAGTTACAATTTATCCATTGGATATGTTGTCTATATCTTCGGTTGATGTGTATGTTTCTTATAGATAGTGACTTTACCACTAGAGACATCCTAAATTGCCTCATTTTCTACTACATAGAACAACAAGAGCTGCCCATGTTTGTGTTGGAAACGGTAGTGGATCCACCGCACGACGACCTTTGATCAACACCTAGGCTCGGCTAAGCACAAAGGGAATTTATTTAAAAAAAGGAACACATTTTTCAAAATAAATATTTTATGTAGTCATAATCTTCTGGGTCCTTAATTTTTTTAATCCGCCACTAGCTAAAGACACTCGATATATTTCTTGCGCGTTGTGACCTTGCAATCTCGAACAAAATGCTAGCTTTAGGTCAGTATGTGAATGCACAAAAGGTACCCAAAACTTGTTGCTTTCGGTCACTCGCTAAAATCCATGAAAAATGGATCCAAAACCACTACTTTCTCTGTTTTAAATTATAAGATATTTTGACTCTCTAGATTTATCGGTTTTACTATGTATCTAGACATAGTATATATCTAAGTGTATAGTAAAAATTATACATCTAAAAAAGTCAAAACCATCTTATAATTTGGAATGAAGGAAGTACAAATCTATGGTCAACTGAGCTAAAATATTCAGCCAGACAAAGTGCCTCTGCCTATCTCCGGAGCTTTAAATTTGAGAGTGCCTAAAATATCAAACTAGTCAAATAAAATATATTAACATCTTGCATTTATTTCAAATTTTAAATGTTAATATATACTCCGTATTTTTTTAGAAAAAAAACTTAACCAAACTTGGATAAGTCTTAGAACGAACGGACGGAATAGATATAAACCCCTATGTATGTTTTGTAAAGTTAACTTCTGAACGAGAACTAACGGTGCTCTCTCCTAGTTGACGTGTTGGAGACGCTGGATAGATTTCTCGCGCCATGCCATTGCCATCTTGGACAAAATGCTGGCTTTTGGGTCAGTCTGTGGATGTGCAAAAGTTATTCAAAACTCGTTGCTTTTCTGACGGCGGCTCAGTCAGATCTAGCGAAGGGAAAATGGATGCAAGACTACCGCAAATCTACCGTCACCTGAACTGAAATATTCAGTCAAACGAAGCGTTGCCGATCTCCAGAGCGTTTTGCCAACCAGCAACAGCCCGGCCGCCTTGCTCCGAAAACCGCCAGTTGACCAACAGTGTCCCCCTTGGCTAGCTTCAGCTGCAACTGCAACAGATCTACAGCAGGTCGGGCGTGTCAGAGCCTCTTGCGGTTTGGGCGGCCAGGAATCCAGCGAGACCTGCATATGCATGCATGCGTCGTGTCTACGAGGTCGCTCCATCGTACTGTACGTCTCGTTCTTCCTGAATACGAACACGGCAGGTGGAAGAAGCTACTACTAGCTACATCACTACATGCATGTGATGAGCATACTTAAATGCCCCGTTCGGCTTACCCAGAAAACAACACTATTCAGCTTGTTTTTTCAGCCGTAACCATATTTTTCTCTCACGACAATTCAGCCAGAACATTGTTTTCAGCCAAATTTAATGCACCAGCCAAGCCAAGCATTATACTACTAGCTAGCACTAATTTCCTAAGCTTAATTAATTAGCACTAATTGCCTTGCCCTAATCATTTTGGCGGTTGGCAATGGCAGCATTGACTTGGATAAAGAAAAAAAAAAGTTGGCCTGTTCCCTCATCAGATTTTGGCATCTACGGAGTCGTCCTTCCCACCCATCTCTCCGTCGTCGTCCCGCGTGCACCGGCGCAGCCACGTGCTGTCCCATACGATACGAAACGCACCACATCATGATTGGTGGAGTTGTGATAGGGATACCTAAAGTAAGGAAGTTAGTGTTCACGCTGGTTTCTCCGGATAGAGCAAGACGTATTAAAAGGTCTCGTCCGACCACAAGGCCATGGGTCTCGCCCAAGGCCACGGGGCACCGTCTCGCCCGACCCCAAGGACGCGGTTTCCGTCTCACCCGACCCCAAGGCTGCGGGGTCTCGCCCAAGGCCATGTGACTCCGTCTCGCCCGACCCCTTGGGTGCGGGCTCCGTCTCGCCCGACCCCAAGGACGCGGTTTCTGTCTCGCCCGACCCCAAGGCCGCGGGGCTCCGCCTCGTCCGACCCCTTGGGTGCGGGCTCCGCCTCGCCTGACCTCGAGGCCGTGGGGGTCTCGCCTAAGGCCGCGAGCTCCATCTCGCCCAACCCTTGGGTGCGAGCTCTGTCTCGCCCGGCCCTAAGGACGCGGTTTTCGTCTCGCTCAAGGTCGCGGGCTCTGTCTCGTCCGACCCCTTGAAGGGCTCCGTCTCGCCCGACCCCAAGGCCGTGGGCTCTGTCTCGCCCGACCCCTTGGGTGCGGGCTCTGTCTCACCCGATCTCTTGGACGCGGGCTCCATCTCGTCTGACGGGGAGCCATACCACCGTCAACCACTCCAGGTTCAAGCGTATGGGCCTGGGTCAAAACTCTGACACCAAGGAGGAGACTGGCACGCCTCGATGTAACCCGTGGCCATGACGGGCCATACCTGAGGATTCACATTAAGAACAGTGTCGGGCGTGCCGGTGCTGTTCTGCCTAACCCTCGTACGAACGCTGACAGACGCGTCAGTTCACCACGACGTCCGCCATGATGGAGTGGAACGCCATGACCGGCAGATGATGCCTGCGCATGGCACCAATGACGAACAGGGCCACGACATGGAGCCATCCCTGTTGACATCTACAGGATCAGCGGGACCCGCATGAAGGCGAAGAAGGACCCAGCGATCCTGGAAGCCTTATTCTCTCTCGTTCTTCTCATTTTCCTCCGCTGTAACTCGCGCTTTCCCTTCACCTATAAAAGGGGAAGCAGGGCGCCCCATGAAGGGGGATCCAGATCCGTACGAGACTGAACCATGAGATAAAAACACAAGAGCATGACACGAGCACACGGCTGAGCAGCGATCAAGCTCTCAGCACCTGTTCACTCCTTCCACCAGAGACTTGGGATTCTTTCCCTCTCTCGCCCATTTGTAACCCCTACTGCAAACCAAGCACCGGTAACACGAGCAGCAACAAACTAGACGTAGGGACATTCCGCTCGAACCAGTATAAACCCTTGTGTCCTCCGAGCACACCATCCGAGCTAGACGCGCAAATACAAATTTACTCGTTGGTGGTCCGAAAACACCAACATGAGTATTCTCTACTCTCTAGTCTGCCTATCTACTCAGATCGGTTGGTTAACCAAAGTCTGAACACACCATGGCTGGTGGTTAAACGTGGGTCGGCGCAATGGCAAGTGTCAGTGCGAAATATGGCCAACAAGTAAATATTTATAGTTTTGTTGTGCGTTGTGATCGGATATGGCCTAGCACTCAATGACACGTGATTTATACTGGTTCAGGCAACAGGCCCTACATCCAATTAAGGTCGGTTGGTGACTTTATTTCTGAGCCTAGGTGCTCGAAATTTGCTGTGGGGTTACAAACGAGTAAGGAATGAGAAGGGGGGTGTTAGAGGCCCGGTCGGACTCTGAACCGAGTGGAAGAGAGTGACGGATGCTCAAACGTGCGCTAAGTATCGGAGCGTATGCTCTGTGTGTCTGAGCTTATCAGCTGTTGAGAGTGTGTAGACTATGTAACTGTCGAGCTCTAGAGTCGTTGTGCTGTTGTCCTCGAGTCCTCGAGTCTTCGAGTCTTCGATCCCCTTTGGTAGGAGAGAGCGCATCCCCTTTTATAGTTGAAGAGGATGGCCTTATAAGTTAGAGAGAAAGAGAGAGTGCATACGGGCGTTGTCTAGTCTTGTTGCCCACGCCATCGATTACGGGAGGGTCGTCATCGCCCACCTTACTGTTCATGCTCTGTTGTATCTAGTAGGCTGCACAGTGTTCGTCTGGTACGGCAAACGACGGTGCCCACAAGGCCACAATACTGTTTATGCTCATACACGTCTGGCAGGCTCTATCGTGTTCGTCTGGTATGGCAAACAATGATGCCCACAATACTATTTATGCTCTGGCGCGTTTGGCAGGTTCTACCGTGTTCGCCTGACATGCCTCGACGGCAACATCCTGCGGATGCGCAGGGCATGGCAGGGTACGGTCCTCGGTATTGCGGTTGACTTGAGCGCCTTAACTTATCTGCTCCGCCTGCTCCACGGGCCCATACCGAGCGGGCGTCCCCGGTCGGTCGTTCCCAGTCGTCTCCGACCGTGTTGGTCGGGAAAGAGCAGCGAGCAGAGGTCCTGTCGTATTCTCGGTCAGAGAAAGGGGGTCGGAGTCGGACTACGGTCCCAGCATGGCTAGGCCTTCCGGTCGCACCTCCGATCAGATCTCCTGGCCGGAGGTGCCGGTCGGGGGACCGGATCGTGGTCTTGACTTGTCATTGTGTATCTAGGCC